TTTTTTTTTTTCTTTTTTTGTTCCTGTTGTCTTCTTCAGTTCTTCAGCACTAGTTATCTCCTGGACACCTTCATACATATAGGTCAGTTTTTCTGCAATCATCTTTGGTGGAACCTTTGTTTCTCGTTATGACAGAGTTGTTGCTCCTGGAAGTACAAGGAATAAACAGTCAATATATTATATGCTGTATTAAATGTTCATCTTCTAGTAAACTAAGCCCATATGATGGAGACTAAATTTGATGTATGTCAAATATTTGATGAGTTTACAAACAAYGTACAGTAGCTGCTGGCTAGATGTGAAATATTTTTCTATGAAAAAAACCCAGTTCTTCTTAGATGTTACTTGCAATGATATCATGTTGTTGGAAAAGTGTTTTAAATTTCATTTTCTTTTTCTTCTTTTGTTAGAAAATAATTGTTTCCAATTTCTATTTTCAATTCCCAATCCTTCAACAACATTGATTCTAACTGGACAATGTGAAAAAAAGGTGGCTAAATGGAGAAACGAGGGTTATAATTCTCATTAGAAAAGAATGAACACAGCTGTTACTACTAAAATATCGTACACCTATTTTCCTTCCATACATGACCAACACAGCTTTCTTAAATTCACAATATTACTAAGGGATACAGACAAAATATGTTTTAAGAAAATAAAAAGCGGAAAATGCTGCATCCCTCTAAATGTCTGGTTAAGTTTTTTAAAATGTTTTAGTCGAGTGTGTTAACATACCTATATGTCACCTTGTACTGGCCAAGGCTTGTCAGGCTATTGTCACAACTAAGGTCATGAATCCTACTGGTTCTGTAGACAAGCTGGTGAACAAGACAACAGGTACATTAGCATGGTAGATAAGGTGCAGAACTACATTATTTCAGTGCTCCTATAGGGTACTCATAGTTCATAGGTATGATGTAAGGTCTAGGACAGGAACAAGGTTAATGGTGGGAAGTGAAAATTACGGAGTTATTCTGTTTTCCTATAGGTTACTTCATAGGTGTGAGGTAATGTCCATGACAGGTGCAAGGTTGGTGGTGGGGAGTGAAGACTACCAAGGTATTCTCAACCTTTGGAAATATCAAAAGTACTATTGTTGTAGTACATATAAAATTGTTAAGAAATCCATCTAAGCATGTAAGGAATGTCTGTACAGATCTTTAAAAAAATAATCGTTTTAAATTATTTCTGGCCTGCTAAGTCATCCTTAATCCCTTTCTGAACCGTTCAAGGTCTACTTGAAAAGTAACGAAGGTACAACCATAACCCATGTCAAAATATATGAGCAAACAAAGACCTAATAGGAAGTTTTCGTCCAACCTTCTATGGCTAAAAGAGTATGCAGAGTATTGTTTTAGATGAGGTACCTACCTAATGGTTCCACCATGGTCTCCATCAGTAAACAGGTACAGTAAGGTTACAGCAGCATCTGGTAGGTTTTTTGATATGCATGCATAAATGGATGTGGTGACATAGAATGCCAGTTACAATACAGTTCATATCTGTAGGACCTCATTGTTAAAATGACATAGAATATGTCACCAGTCTTTTGTAATACTCTGTGTTAAACCACAGTACATATCTGGTAGATATCTGTAGGACGTCATAAGTAAATGACAGAATGTCACCACAGTCTCTTGTAATACTCTGTGTTAAGCCACAGTACATATCATCTAGTAGACATCTGTAGGACATGGTTAAAATGACATAGAATATGTCACCAGTCTCTTGTAATACTCTGGGTAAAGCCACTGTACATATCATCTGGTAGATATCTGTAGGACGTCATGGGTAAATGACATAGAATGTCACCACAGTCTCTTGTAATACTCTGTGTAAAGCCACTGTACATATCGTCTGGTAGATATCTGTAGGACCTCATGGGTAAAATGACATAGAATGTCACCAAGGTCTTTCTTACATCAACCAAGATTTCTGTATTATTGCCATCATTTTATCATTTTTGTTCTTTTTGCAGTTGTGTTTTTCAAGGCAGAGAAACCTTAATGTTGACCGTCAGGATGGTAACTCTATTGTTGTCATCTTCTAACACAATCAGTATCAGGTAGAGTAATATGGACTTGTGCTTCATGTCCAAGTATAATGCCATGGGTTACACTGACTGATATTTCAATTTTTTTCACAACTCCATAACTGCAAAAGGAAGATAATCATTAATGGTTATTACCAATATTGCATCGATGAGCAAAAAGTGCCGTGGGGGAGGGTGGGTGTTGTTTCAACAAATTTGTACAAAATGTTTCTGCAGCTAAAATTATTGTTAGACAGTATACAAAAATAACAGCTATCTGTTTGAAATATACATGTTACAGCAGAAATACTTAAAAGTAAAAAACTTAAACACTAGAAACCAAAAGCGAAAGCCATTTTGGTCATCACGTGTTCCTTTCCTTTCGATGATAAAACACTGAGAAACACGGTAAAAATAAAACAATTCTTACCAGTCATGACTGTTGATCGTTCTTTGCTATTTTAGGATGAATATTACTCCAATTAAACTGATTTTACTGTAAGATTTAGCTTGAAATATCGAAGACATTTTCTTGACCAAGAAACGTGTTCCTCGAGGTGTGGATATGCTAATCTTAAGGCCGAGACAAACTGGGAGCTAGAAAAGACCCGCGAGGATCCCGCGGGAAGTATTTCATCTTCTCTTCCCTCTTCATTCTTTTCTATCTATTCTTTTTCATTTTTTTCTTGCCTTTTTTCATTCATTTGTTTTTTCCCCTACCCTTTATCTTAAACTGAAACGAAATATAAAGGGAAAAAATTTTTGATCAGATTTTGTCTTTCAATTCTTTTCTTCCATCTAATTCATTCTCTCCTTTTGATATTTACTTCATTTTTTTTGTCTTCTTTTGTATTTTCTGTTGTCGAGGTATTTTTTATGAATTGTGGGGTCCCTGTGGTTGGATCGTCAAGTATTGGGCGTTGAGTATTGGCCTTCTATTTTTAATTCATCGAATCAAATCAGCAAGGGAAAAAAATCACATGAGAAATGAATAAAATAAGAAAACTAGCACAATTTTTGTCCTCTTTTTTGATCCCTGTGGTGGTAAAATATGAGGCCTTTCCTTGTTACTGCGCATGCTCGACAAAATGTCACATACTATTTTATCGACTCTCAAGGTAATTGTCACCATTTATTTCTTGGGTTCTCGTATCATGATTTCTATCGTGGTTTTTTTAATCAATTACGAAAATGGAGTGACCACTGCTTTTGAAAGTGATGGGCTTCCTGTGTTATGCATGTTCCAAAGTGGTATACACAGGAAACCCAATTTAGATCAAATTTCAACTCGTTTTTCTCTTCACCCACATAAGTTTTTACAGCTATCATAATGCTAACATATAACGTATCTAAAGTTCTAATATAAATGTAAGTTTCATGTCGGCAAGAGTTTAAAAACCACTCAAAATTGGGAAATAACTAAAAACGATACACCGCTGACCAAACGCCATTTTAGTCAAAAATTCGTTTCCTCGTAAAACCTTCAATATGAGTCTAATCACAAAAATAACTTCAGAAGTATATTGGCGCGAGCCTTAGCTTTCTATAGATGCGTATTTTATTTCGAAAACATTATTATTTCGATTTACGAAAATTTTGACCAACTCAAAAAACGCATATCTCGAGGTTCTAACTTCAAGCGGCTTGTTTTCCATGAAATAAAGAAAAATGTCAAAATATTTTTCCACCGAGATTTAAAGCTTGCTTCGCACTTTTTGTCAAAGGTAAAATTTTTAGAATCAAGGTTTTCTTTCTATTATATTTTAAATGTTTTTTGACAGTTGGAGGCATTTGGGCTTCCTGTGGTGGGGTTTAGACAGGACCGACAATAAACAATCGCAATTTTGTAAGTGAAAATTTGCATAAATGGTAAATATTTTGACTGATTTACTTTAATTAGATGGTATTCTTTCCGATTTAATATTTTTTTTCACGGAAAAAAGAAGTTTTAATTTTTGGGAAATTTTGCAACTTGCCACAGGAATCCCAAGCATTCCAAATTTTTAGTTGTTGTGCTGTGATTGCGTTTATTTTTCAATGTTAAAACGCTTTTTATCGAGAACTCAGCGCGTGTTGATGAATTAAATGGTTCTTTCTTTGCGCATTTTTTGCAATGAAAATTTCCTATTCGGTTATCTTCACTTTCTTTTAGTTTCTTCCCTTCCTTTCCATTTCATTTCATTTCCTTTCTTTTATTTTTCCCCTCTCCTCTTATCTCAAACGAATTCAGCAAGAATAAATAAATGAAAGAGATAAAAAAAGTAAGATTAGATTTAGAAATTTAAATCTTATTCTACATTTGCGAGGCTTTTGGGATCCCTGTGGCGAAGTAATTCACAGTGCAACACAGGGCTCCCAACAATTTCCATTTTGAATGAGAGTGCGGATATGTGAAATAATTTTTTTGTGAATTTTTTTTTTAAATTGGTTTGATTGAATTCCATTCTCTTAAGCATGATTTTGTTATCGACAATAACATTCAACAGTAATGTGAATTTGTTAAGTTATATGGTTATATCTATGTCCAGAAAGTCTCATGAAAAACAGCAAAGCCCCATGGAAAGTGATTCCATGCGCAACGTCACCGAAAACAAAAAGACAACCAACAATAAATGTGCCTCCATCTGTTACGTACTTTCCACGATTAAAACGCTATGAAATACTTCTACAATAACTGTAATAAGCTATGAAATACTCCTACAATAAATGTGTTAAAAACAAAGTTCCACTTGTTCAAATATAGTTTTACACATAAATGAATAAAATAAAGCTTACCTATTATCGTCTGACATGAAAACCATCAAGATTTGATAAAGCATGGCTGGCGAACAAACCGCGAGCATGTTCCCTCAAACACTTCCATCGGCGCGAACCAACTGACTAAACTATTCAACGTGCGCTTCCTTTTATAGAGAAACCCGGTGCCGTGCGAGAAACACGAAAATATGCATGGTATGCATTAATTAATCAATTGTTATTACCTAATTAATATTCATAGGGTTAACCCTAACCCTAGCAAATTTTTTAATTTGGCCATCCTATTTTTGGTTAGGGTTAGGGTTAGGGCTTGCTCTAGAGTTAGGGTAAGGATTTGTGCTAGGGTTAGGGTTAGGGTATAGGACTATGGTTAGAGTTTAGGGTTAACCCTAACCCTAGCAAATTTTTTTGGCCATCCTATTTTTGGGTTAGGGTTAGGGTTAGGGTTAGTTCTAGGGTTAGGGTTAGGGTTAGGGTATTTTTAGGGCTAGGGTTAGAGTTTAGGGTTAACCCTAACCCTATCCAGTTTTCTGGCCACATAAGTTTAGGGAAGGGCAATTTCGAAGGTTAAGGTTAGCGCTTTATGGCTTCCATCAATAATAATAAATAACTAATAATTAATAAATGAACTTAAAAAATGATTAGAATAATTATGATTTTGATATTTTCTAATATTTTGTGCTATGTATGTATCAAGGATTTTAGTATGGTCTAGAGGAATGGTGTTTGGTTTTGAAAAAACATATGTGCTTTGGAAAAAGAACTGAGAATAATGAAAATGAAAGGAAACATGCAGAAAAAAATTAAATAATTAGAAAAAAAATTACACAGTTGGGAACCGAACCTTAAGTTTCTCAATCTAAGGCGAACACAAATCCATTGGACTACTGACTTTTACCTTGAAAAAAAAAACGTGAAAAATGTTACATCTAGGGGATGTCTAACATAGAACGATGACCAGTTTTTGCGTCTTTTTATAGCTATTTCCCTTTGATATTTTGTACGATTTAAATTTAACTTCGAAAAGGAAGTTATGAAAAATGATAAGTAAAAGTATGCAAAATGTTTGAAAAAAAATTACGCGAAAATTTGACTCGAACCAATGTCCATGCAAGCAAACCGTTCATTCCGCCATCCGCCGTTCATCCAGGTTACTATCCTCACTTTTTTATAATTCTTTATGCCTAAATCATTCTATGAATATTAAAATCGGGGGTGCGATAAAGGTCAAAGAATGCATGCATTTCACGAAGCTTTGGTAAGAATAATACTCAAGGGAATAACACGTGGATTGAAGTAACTTACTTATTGAGGACCTTGGTGTAGTTAATCTTCATTGAGCGCCGCGGTAGACAGTTGAACTGTAACAGAACCATTTATGATGTCTGCAGGTTAATCTCCATAAGAATGGCCCGCGCATTACACCCCTATTGATCTTATACCTTAGGGAAGAATGTTTTCCACTACGAAATTGTTTTCCCTTGAGTATTTTTCCTTTCTTTATGTGACGCTCGAGAAAATATTAATAGAATCAAACAAAGGCATTGTTAATGAAAACAATGACGTCAAAAACTCTTTTATTGAGTTCAGTTGCTACTTACCTTTAACTACTTTCACAATACTCCAGAAAGAATAACATGAATATAATAAAATAGGAACGCCCGAGAACTAGCCATGTTATTTGATGTCAATAACGAATTGCCGCCGTTCCTCCCCCTGATTGGCTAGAAGCGCGCTGTTAACATAAAGGAAGCATCCATAGCTAACGCTACCTCTGATTGGCTAGAAGCGCGCTGTTAACATAAAGGAAGNCTGATTGGCTAGAAGCGCGCTGTTAACATAAAGGAAGCATCCATAGCTAACGCTACCTCTGATTGGCTAGAAGCGCGCTGTTAACATAAAGGAAGCATCCATAGCTAACGCTAGCTCTGATTGGCTAGAAGCGCTGTTAACGTAAAGGAAGCATCCATAGCTAACGCTACCTCTGATTGGCTAGAAGCGCGCTGTTAACGTAAAGGAAGCATCCATAACTAACGCTACCTCTGATTGGCTAGAAGCGCGCTGTTANGCGCTGTTAACATAAAGGAAGCATCCATAACTAACGCTACTTCTGATTGGCTAGAAGCGCGCTGTTAACATAAAGGAAGCATCCATAACTAACGCTACTTCTGATTGGCTAGAAGCGCGCTGTTAACATAAAGCATTCATAACTAACACTACCTCTGATTGGCTAGTAGCGCGCGGTATCGGAGCTTTGGAGCAACAAACACACTAGAAAGTCAACTAAATTTTTCTTTATTTATTGCATACTACACTATACGGCATCTTTATTCTACAATAATATATATATACATATTATTGAACAAGAAAGCTTTGCGATAACTCTTCTATACAACTAATACATATACAAGCGCTTTTGATATATCAAACAAATGATAAATATAATTTATATTAAGCTACTCTAGCATGCGGCATTAAAACACATGCATAACTATGTACATGATTGTCGGCGGGCGCTCGGGATTGTGTCGTAAAAAAACGACGCAAGAATAACGTACTGATCATGCTCGGAAAATACGAAGGCAACACGAGATGTTTTTAAAGAAAAATAACACTCTTAAAATAAAATAGAATCACTAGCTAAGCGCATCAAAATCGTACATTTTTTCAATTTTACATATTTTCGTTTCATTTTTTTCTTGCCCATTTTCCGAGCATGCGCACTGAGTACTTCTAACCCAAGCACTTGAAAAGCACTTCGCAGGCACACAGCAAGTACTCGGGAAGATGGCGCGTGAGCTTTCCAAAGATGGCTACCGCCATTTTCCATATACATGCATTAAATCTAATAAAACAAAGACTATAGTGCTTAAGCCCCAAGGCTTGTGACTCCTTATTTATAAATGGTTCTCTTTTTCAGAACTAGTGGAATTTGAACGATCTCTGTAATGTCTGTGATGTAAGCAGCTGATATTACGTCATAGCCGCCATCTTTGATGAGTTGAACGAACGTTTGTCATTGCTGATGTTTTGAAATGACCCATTTTATAAGGACGTCAGAAGTTTAGAATACTGGGGCAGAATATCCTAAAACTCTAATAAAATATATGACATGCCATATTTTCATTTTCTGTAATATTTGTTCCAATTCTTTCCATAATTCTGGTCTAGTTCAGTTTAGTGAAGACGTCATTATGGAATAGAGTCTTCAGTGTAAGGCTAACAGAAATTAGTCAAATCCAACTAGTGTTCTATTATCAATGCTGTGTTCTGATTGGATGAACTACTAATAGACTATAAGTTATATCATACAAGTAGCGAAAAGTGCCGGCTTTCAAAACAAAGACATTAAATTTAACTTTAGCTCTAAAATATATTTGACCAACTAGTTGGAATTGACTAAAACAATTAGTCCTCTCGCCCTCAGAGCCTACGAGTCAATAGCCCATTCGGGCTCGAGGACAATTTACTAAATACACGAGATATTCACAAGCGTCATGTTGCACTCACTTCTCACTGAACTCGTCTCGTAACCTCTCGTAACGTTTCATACGATGAAAGGGCAAGGCCTTTCCTTTCCTATAAATACAAGTGCGACTTTCTGTTAGCCTTGTTTTTCGAGTGACTTCGAGCTTCGAGAGCAGCCTGTACCATTCACAATAGTATTACTATTACACTACTACTTATACCTTGAGAACGGCTGTAAAGTATATACTGAACTGCTCTTTCTTCGTCTTTTCTCATGATTCTTCTATAGATAGAACCTACTAACATTTATAGTAATGATTGTTTTGTATTTTGTCTTCCTAAAACTGCTTATAAACTCAGTCATTCGAGTTTGGGCACTTTGATACTTTAGTTATTAATAAGTAGGTATTATCGCAAAATCGATAATACTAATGTTTAATATTTTCATTAGACGTCCACAAACCAAACTTTGCGTCCATTGTTACTCCATTCCTTCTTGTTTCTTGTGCTTGTTTCACACATCTGTATATCTCACGTCAATCTCTTCAAGGTTAGGAAGTTTCTGGTTATAAAATGGATGAATGCGTTAGTCTGAAGTAAGAATGGGAAGGGAGAGAGGGGAGAGTAATGATAAGAGGGATAGGAGAAATAGAAAAATGAACAGAAATGACAAATGAATGAAAACATGAATAAGATTTCTGATGATAAAAGTAAGAACACAGTTGATAATGAGTAGAGAATAGAAGAGGGAAAAATAGGAGAAATGAAGAAGTGGAAAACGTATTTTGATATTTCGTCGAATTCAGGAAGTCTGTGATGATAAAAGGGATAAAAGGTAAAAAAATGGGAATAGGAGAGGAAGAATAAAGATGGTGATGACAGGAAAAAAATGAGGAAGTGGGAAATGTAAAACGAAATAGAGAAAATAACGAAAAGAAAAAAATGAATGAGATAGAAAAGAGATGAATCATCAACGCAGGGGGCGTAAAAAAAGATCAAAAAAGTAAAGTTTTCTGAACAAATTCTGAAGCAATGATCTTGAATAACTAGGAACTAAAAGACCTTCGATGCAAAAAAAAGAAAATAAGAAAGAAAGAAAGAATGGAAGAATGAAAGAAAGAACGAAAGAAAGAACGAAAGGAAGGAAGGAA